GCGGCAGGTCCTGGAGCTCCCGCGGGGCAGCGGGCTCGGAGGCGGCCGGGACTGAGGCCTCTCTCTTTTCCAGGCGCCGCAGTAAGTGGGACCAGCCCGGCCCGGCCCCCGCTTTCCTTCTCCCCGGCACGGCGCCGCTGCCTGGGCGCCCGTTTCCCGGCGGCGGAGATGGTGGCTCCGCTGTGGCGGGCTCCGAGAGCTCCGCAGCCCCCTCGGGAGCGCTGGATGCGGCCGCGGCCGTGGCCGCGAAAATCAACGCGATGCTAATGGCCAAAGGGAAACTGAAGCCGGCGCCCAGCACGGCGGACAAGGTGGGTGCCCGGCGGGGCGGCAGGAGCCGCGCCGTGCCGTGCCGGTGGGACCGCCAGGCCCGGAGGTGGTGGGCGAGGGTGGGTATCGCGTCTGTTTTCTGGAGACCTGCGGCCTTTATTTGTCGGAATGGCTCTCGGTGAGACGGGAAACGATGGAGGTTTGCTTCGTGAAGTAGGATGTGACAAAAAACAATCGGAAAACCTTTCTTCAAATTTTATCAGCAACAGAAAACAGTGGCGTAGCTGCGAGGTCAGTCCCGCTGCTCTTCTGTAAGGCTTAACCAAAGAGATCTGTAGGAACGTGATAAGCTTTTTTCTGAAGTATTTTCTAGGTAGTGTCAGCTGACATAAAAACTGCTGTATAAAACCGCCGGTTTAAAATATGAGATGAAATTATTCTCATGCTTAAGCAAGTTATCAGTCGGAGCCATATGTGCAAGTGCTGACCAACCTGGTCAGCTCCCTGACGTGAGCCTTGGTCAGTCCTGAAGCGGTCAGGCAGCTGGACTAGATGATCGTTGTAGGTCCCTTCCAACTGAACTTTTAAATTCTAAAGCAAGTGTAACTTCAAGCATGTTTTCCCATTTCAGTAACAAGAACAGTCTTGCTTTCCTGTGTGTTGTTAGCCTATGCTAGAGCCAAGCTTAGAAGGCTGTTTCAGGTTGCCTTCCGAACTCGTTCAAATGCAAAGTTAACAAGAAGAGTATGTTTTCACGGCAGATTGTATCTTCTTTTTCACATGCATAGTATTGGTGGGACTGCCAGATACGTTCTAGGCATTTGCCTTGTGAGGCAGCATGAAAATGAGTCTTCGTTTTGTCATTGGATTTATTCACAGATAATAGAGGGAAGAGTGGCAAATGTACCCTGCCACGTGTTCACCGTATTTGGTTTTCTGTAGGTTCTGTATCCGAAATGATTGTTACAGCCGTTTTAATATGTGTTTCTTTGATCATTGCTATCGGCAGTCCTAGATGGTTTTAACACATTGTTTGCTGCGTGGTGGTGCCTGCGTCTTGATACTTACTGTCCACCTGAGGATGTGAAATTTTCAGCATTGAAGAATGTGTAGCTTGGTTTCAGGTAGCCTCTGCAGTCATACCAGATGGAAGTGAAGTCTGTCTGTTTACTGGCAGTTTGAAACACCTAAAAATCGGAAGATACTGATGTCTCATTCTTCCATCTATGTTTTTTCCATAAGCTTTGGTGGCATTCTGGCATCCTGTGACAAATTATATTGCTGTGGGAACCACTTAACCAATTAATTTGCAAATGGGATTGGTTGTTTATTGCATTTCTTGCTTTTGTTAGGAAATGTTCAATGATGACATTTCCAGAGTAATTAACTCTGATGGCACCTCAGATTGTGAGTGAATGGAAACTGAGGAGCCTGCAGGTTAATGAATGTACTTTTTTTTTTTAACATGTGGAAGGAAGGGAGAAACAGAATGCATGTACAATGCGTTAGACTTATGTCCCTCTATAGCTGCCTTCTGTCCCTCATGCAAGTGCTGTGCTTCATGTGATATTGATGAGACCGGATGTGTGCCTTTTGGATGTTACTGGAAGGTTCTTTTTTTACAGAGTCTTGGTTTATGCTTACGTCCCCAATAGCATTTCAAAATTTTTAGGAGGATGTACTATCTAACTCTGTGTGCGTGGGAAAAGCTATAAGGTCTTTGTTGTAACTACAAGTCTTCTGTCATATCTTCTGCATCTCTCTGTGGCTCCGTGGCTTTTTCTTTCTTAGACACTTAGATACTGACGCGAAATATTATGCCCTTTTTTTAAAAAAAACAAGGTGGGGGGAAGCGTGGTTGTAGTGTTGGATGAGTTTAGATCTTGAACAGAAATTCTAAATTCTGTTTCTGTGTAAGGGGAGTTGAGAGAAGCATGAATTGCATGTTTTATTAGTCTCGCAGATTTCTGTCAGAGGTGCTAATTCAAGTGTAAGATGCCTTGGTTTCCGTTTGAGCAACTTCACTGCTTAGTTCTGCACGTGTTTCTCCATTTATAGAACAGAAACAGTAATTACTTATTATATTAAAATGTGTTGAGGATAAAACTAGTGTTTTTACTTGGGCACGAGGTTGTGAAGAGGTAGATTATTAAGTAGTAGATGTAATGTGCTTTCTTCTAATGTTTGTAAAGCTTTTGGGTTCAACAGCTGAAAGGGGAGGATGAAAAGGATATTCACCTCTAGAGTACTAGGGTCAATTTGTTTGTTACATCATTTATCTCTGCTTTCCAACTGCTGGTCTTTTGCAACGGTTGTCTTTGAAGCTGCAGGCTCTGGGAAAAGGTCCGGCTACAAGTAAAAGCAAAGATGACCTCGTGGTGGCAGAGGTGGAAATCAACGATGTCCCCCTCACATGCAGAAACCTGCTGACGAGAGGACAGACTCAGGATGAGGTATGTTCAGGATCTACGTCTGACTTGTTAGGCTTGGCAACACGTTTGTACCTGTTTGTAAGGTTAAAAGAGCTTGCAATAAACCATATTCAGTGGTGGTTTCCTCTTTTTACAAAACTTGTTGTGTTTTCTAAGACACTTTATTTCGTAGTTTATTGGTTTGTTCGATAAAATGTCATATGATGAGGTAAGGTAGCATAGTTAGTATCCTCCAGCGGGCACCGTTCGTTCTCTTCCCACTTAATTAACGGCTTCTGGTCTTTTTGTACAACAACATAGCCTAAACCACTTTGGGTGTTTTGTGTGCGCTTTGTTTATTATTGGTAAACTTGTCACTGGGTTTTTTAAATTGTTTTAGATAAGTCGGCTGAGTGGAGCAGCTGTCTCTACTCGAGGGAGATTCATGACTGCAGAAGAGAAAGCAAAAGTGGGACCCGGGTTTGTATTTTCCTTTTTTGGGGGCTTATGCTTTTTTTCTCATTGGGTGGCTACGTGGTGGGGGCTTTGTTTTTTGCTGGGTTTTTTTGTTTGTTTGTTGTTTTGTGAGCAGCGTCACCTTTGGGTGCCAGAGCGAATTGCCTGTTGAGTGTTTCGAGTATGTTTACTGTTATGATAGTCTGACTGCATAGCTGCTTTCCCACCTGCTTGATACTGATAGGGTGAAATTAAAAAACAACCAGACAAACCACAAACGTGACAGATCAGACTGTGCTGGACTTCTTCAAATTAACGCTATACTGGATCCCTTGTGCATTTTGCTGAGAATCTAACCGGAAAGTTGCCCAAAGAGAGCTAATATTTCATAGTCTCGGGGCTTTTAGTTAGTTAACCTTTCATGTGGACAAGCAAATTAACGTTTTCAGTGGTATAACTTTAATAAGTCGTTGTGTAAATACCTCCTGAATCTCTTCAGTTTTCAGTGCAGAGCTTTGCTTACTGAGCACCGTGATATTCAATGAACATGTATTTACTTCCTTATGTGAAGAGTGTTTCAAATCTTTATGGAAGACTTCATGTGTCTAGATGACTGTAATATAATTAGATTGAATCCATTATTGTATGTTCTCTGTGGGTTTAATGGTATGTTTGACATTTCCTTTCCAGGGAGCGTCCTTTGTATCTTCACGTCCAGGGTCAGACACGGGAATTGGTTGACAGTAAGTGCACAAAGCGTTCTTCTTTTCCTGTCATTGTTTGTGATAAAGGGGTTTTACTAAGGGGCTTTGTTGTGACCAGTATGGATTGGTACTATAAATATCTTGGAGTCGATAACAGACCCCATTTAAACGTTGATGTTAAGATCTCTGGCTCAAAACTACCTAAGGTGCTCTGTACTGCATTAGTCATTAAAATAAAGCTTTTGATAGACAACAAGGAAGGTGGGGGGAGTGAGTAGGGTTCCTAGGCAGGTGTAGCTCTTCTGTGTGAATTTATTTGCTGATAACATGCTGAGATCCCATTACAGTAGGTCGTGACAGGGAGACCTTCCCTTTACTATACAAGTATGAACGTTTTTTGTGAGATAGCTACATTTCCATTAGAAGCACAAAGAACTCCGGTCTTGCCTATGCCTGCCAGAAAAAAAGGAAAACTATAAACTGTTCAGGTGTTCATTTGTTCTGCGTATCAGTTCACGGGCTTGCCCTTGGTTGTCTCTTGAAACCTGAAGCTGCCCACTTTTATCTACCTTGATTTCCACAGCCGGTAAACATTTTTTACATGTTAGTTTGCTCATTCATGCAGATGTAAATTCTGCACAGGGTTAATGTAAATGTTTCTAGCATTTGCTAAAATATGTGGGCTAAAACCGCCCACCTGCCTATATTAGCCTAAGCTTTATCAGGGTGGGAGTGGAGAAGGAACCCTGATGCTTGTTGCCATCCTTTGTGATGCAATCCTAGAATGCTAATATTGGGCCCTGCTGTCAGATGCAACCTTTTTGCCTGTAGATCTGCTGTTGCAGAATATGGGAAAGTAACCCTAGTCATTTCATGATTTGGTTAATCTGGGCAGTAGACAAGGGCCGAAATATAAATGAATTTCATATTCTGTCAACTAGGAGCTGTTAACCGAATTAAAGAGATAATTACTAATGGAGTAGTGAAAGCAGCCACCGGTTCTAGTCCGACGTTCAATGGAGCTACAGTTACTGTCTATCACCAGCCAGCCCCCATTACTCAGTTGTCTCCAGCAGTTGGCCAGAAACCTCCATTCCAGTCAGGGGTGAGTTATTCATTTATGTGGATTTCACTGAAGTATCACTGATTACAAGATTTACCTATTACAAAGTATACATGTATTTATTGAAAAAAAACACAAAGAAAAAAACAAACCACAAAAACCTGAAAACAGACACCCCACCCCCCAAAAAAAACCCCCAACAAACCCCACCTTTTGTGTTGTGAAAACTGGAGGACTAATCACACTGAGTCTGAAGAGTGAGACTCAGATGACAGTAGCCTCCTAAAAGAAAAGGGATGGAGAGAGCAGTCCTAGTTACAGTAAAGCAAAGGGCTGACTGTGCTATCCGACACTTAACTTTTCTGACTGTCACAGAAATAAGATTTCTGGCCTCCAGTGAAATGAACATCCTAATTCTTGGAGTGAAATAGTAAGCTTTTACTGTTACTTTTACAGATGCATTATGTTCAGGACAAGTTGTTTGTTGGTCTGGAACATGCTGTACCTACATTTAATGTGAAGGAGAAAGTGGAAGGGCCTGGTTGCTCCTACTTGCAGCACATTCAAATTGAAACGGGTGCTAAAGTCTTTCTTCGTGGGAAAGGCTCAGGTTGCATAGAACCGGCATCAGGCAGAGAAGCTTTTGAACCCATGTATATCTACATCAGGTATGAGGGGGGGGGGGGTTAAAAAATAAATAAATACCAGTGACTGGCCATGAATGTAACTTAATGTTTAATCCATGTGGGGAATTCTTAATTACGACTGCCTTAATGCAAATGAAATAGTTTTTGAACTTGACTTTTATTTTAATAGTGATCTCTCTAAAGTGATAAAGATATCAACCATATGGTGATATGATATAAAGTGATACTCGACCATAAGGTATTGCTTTTATTTGGAACACAGTAAAGCTGTGGTTTTTTTGCACTTGGGTTGTGATGTTGAGCTTTAAGGGAAGAATACAAAATGCATTGACCAGTCAATTAATTTTTCTGTGCTTGTTTCTTGCAGTATTTAGACTAACCTGAATTTTCATGTAGAAAATAAATATTCATCACTTTTGTTCACAATTGTGCTGAATAGCTGCAGAGCTGCTAGAGTCTTGTTGAGGTGACTGATCACTCATTAAAGGGATAAGATCTGACAGCACGTTGCTGATGAAAGAAGTAGTTCCCAAATCTGGCGGAAATGTTTGTGCTTATGAGGTGTTCTTTTTATATGTTTTCAGTCACCCAAAGCCAGAAGGTTTGGCAGCTGCTAAAAAGCTGTGTGAGAATCTATTGCAAACTGTGAGTAGCTCTTACAAATATGAGATTTCAGAGTCTGTCGTAGCTTTAGTGTGTGCCTGGCTAATGATTTTTTTTTTTACGCGCTCAGCAAAACTGTTCATGTGTTCCAACTTGCTAGTAGGTTTTTCCTTCTAAGTACAGCTGTCTAATTTTTGTACAGTGAACAAACACTTCTCAGGGTGGAGCTGTAGTAGTGGAATTTGGGGGAAAAAAATGCAAATGCTTCCTGAGTAGAAGTAGGGGTGGGGGCAGGACATTGACTGTATGCAAACGTAAAGGAATGCTGCTTTTTTTCCGATTGCTGTAGCTTCCCTTGCCTTAGCTTTAAATGTTGTCGAGACTCACGCTGTCTGCTTTATCTTTCCTGAAGTGATTGTTGTACCCCCAAAAATTTTAGAAAATCTCAGGTGTACACATAGAAAATTTATTTCTGAGCTTTTTTTACATGAACGCTAATGGAGTAAAATCCTGTGAGACAGTCCTTCTGTTAGTATTCATAATTGACTATGGGCTACAAAGTGTGTTTTGAAAAATACATGAAAGCTTTTAGATTCTTTGAGTATTTTCTACTGTCTCTACTGAAGTATTTAGTTTGCCACTCTATTTCCTGTGAAAGATTAGCCTGTATTTTACACAAATCTGTTACAGACCAGCAGGATTAGTGGGATGTTCAGCAGGGTTTTGGTCGGTGGGGTTTTGTTTTCAGTTTTGGTGTTTGGATTATTGCTGTCTTTGTGCATAATATGTTCTGTAATCAAAGTCCCCTTATGGCTTTATGGTTGCATGGTAAGATGCCTTTTGCCAGCAAAAGGTTAACATAGTAAATAGGTATTTATTGTCTAATTTTTTAAAATTCTTTGTAGGTTCATGCCGAATACTCCCGATTTGTAAATCAGATAACCACTGCAGTACCCTTAGCAGGTAAATGTTAGCAGTAATGAAGTCTTTGTAGTTGCATTCTGCAGAGCTGTACTTACAGTTAGTTTTGTGGAATTTATTTACCTGTGGAAGTCTTTAAGTCCTTCAATTGAAAAGGAGTCCAGCTGCTTTTACATTTGGTAATTAAATTTGATATTTTTGTGACTCTAACTGAATTGAAGATGACCCTTTTTTCCCCTTTCTCTTGCCAGGCTTTGCGCAGCCTGCCACTATAAATAGTGTCCCTTCACAGCCATCGTATTACCCTTCCAATGGGTATCAGTCTGGTTATCCTGTTGTTCCCCCTCCTCAACAACCAGTTCAGCCACCTTATGGTGTACCAGGCATAGTACCACCTGCAGTGCCATTGGCACCTGGAGTCTTAACAACACTACCTACAGGAGTTCCACCTGTGCCAACACAGTATCCAATATCTCAAGTACAGTCTCCAGCCAGCACTGGCCAGGTACTGCCACATATTATTTGCGCTATAGTTGTCAACTTATTAAGCAGTTTCTTTGCTAACAATAAAATACTTAAAGTAGTTCCAGAGGGAGAATTCTTCTTTAGGGCATTTTTTTTTTTGTTATTGCTTTGCTGATGCTTCTGTCTAAGCACCTAAATTGTTGGTATGGCTGCTTCGTACTGCGTTTTTCATATCATAGCCACCTGTTCATATAAAGGATATTTGCAGGGGGCGGTCGCTCGTTTATGAAATGCGTCATCGCACGCTGTGATGCAGTTATGTAGGTACAATGAGTTTGAGTTACAGATAGTGATTAGTTTGAGGTGGGAGCATTCTATAAATTAAATACTTGTTTTATCTTTAAGTTGTGAATTTCCTTTTAGCTTCTCTGAGGCTCTGCAAAGAGAAACTAGTGTGTTCTGCTCCTATGTATGAACCAATACATTGAATTAATACTTTATATGCATATTATCAAATTTTCTTGTGTTCTGTTTTCAACTTCTGCATGCCAGAGTCCACTGAGTGGTCCTTTTCTTCCTGCTGCCCCAGTAAAAACAACCATGCCGACTGGTACACAGCCACAAGTCCAACCCCATCCCCAAGGTCAAAAGAGACGCTTCACTGAGGAACTACCGGATGAGAGAGAGTCAGGACTGCTGGGATATCAGGTGGAATAAAATCAGCAATTTTACTTCATTCACCAAAATGGAACTTGGCTAGAGGGAGATTGTTATTAGCACAGTTTGTTTGGCAACAGTCATGCAAGACCTTTGGCAGATGGCAGCAATTGTTACAAAACGTTGAGACCACCCTTTTGTTTCTTTGAGTGGACGCACTGTTCCTAAACTGTGACTTACTTGATTCATTGGCAGCTTGCTTTCCATACCCTCAACCTTTCGTGAAGAAAAGCAGTGCGTTCAGGTCAAAGAGATGACAATAGCATGTTACTGGTTAGTTTAAAGGGAGATTATCTGGGGGTTTGTTTGGGTTTTATGGGTCTTTTGGGTGGGCTTGTTTGAGGGGTGGGAGGGAAATGTGGTAATAACTTCCAGATTATCCCATTTACCTTTCTTGCAGGTTGCACTTGAGAGGATTTCAAGAAGCCTAGTTTTAAGAGATTGATTTTTTTTTTTAATAGCAAATGTTTAAACAGTTGACTTTAATAAAAATAATTTTGATTTCTTCAGACTTGTATGTGAGAAAAGGGAGTTTCTGCACATGCTTCTCTGATAATACACCCCTGTTCACAGGCAGAAACCCTAAATATAAGCTTTGCCTAGAGACAATAAGGAACTTGCCTATATGGTAGACCTAATATGAGTATCTCGAGCAGACTTTATTGTGCCATGAGGTCTAAACAGTATTCACAATTAGCTCATTGAGGAAGCAATAAGTTGATCTGTGAATTAAGGAGCTATCTTTACTGTCTTGAACTACTGAAAAGGTGGAGTAGGTGGTGAGGTGTCTTCCATATTGGTGCTCAGGTGTGTTTCTTACTACACTACCCTCAGTATTTTTAGGAGAAAGCATTTTTAACAATGGCGATTAGTGGTTTCTTCTGCTAGTTGGCTATATGCTCTGAAAAGTTGGGTGTCCTGTCATTATCATTAAGGAGCTATAGCTTATGTTGTAGTTGTAGATTTGCTAATGCCGTGTGTTTTTCTGCTCATAGCATGGACCCATTCATATGACTAATTTAGGTACAGGCTTCTCCAGTCAGAGTGAAATCGATGGAGCCGGATCGAAGCCAGCAAGTTCCTCAGGAAAGGAGAGAGAGAGGGACAGGTGAGTGATGAAAGAATTATGTCAGGTCTTTTCCAGTTCTGATGGAAAGCTTATTTCCAGAGATGATTTGTGTTTCGTGTTCTCTTCTGTGACTTGTGTTGCTTGTTTTGTTGTGGGTGGGGTTTTTTGTGGTGGGTTGTTTTTGTTTGCTTCTTTTTGTATGGGTTTTTTTGTTGTTGTTTAAGGAGAAGGGATGCAAGGATTACCTTTTCATGCTACAACATGAAAATAGCTTAATTTCCACTCCTCCCTAAGTCTGTATGCTCTTACTTTGTCTAGGTCGGGTATTTTGCTAACTTCTTGGTACAACAGAATATTCTTGTGAAATAGGTTAGCACTTACACTTTAAACGATTCCAATTTTAAAACAAATCTGAAAAAGTCGTAAACGTGAAATTTTGTAGCCTGAAGTTTCAGGGAAAGATTTACTTGATAGTCTCTTTTGTTTTCTGGTCATTATGAAACACATCAAGGGTATTGGTAAATTTTTCTATGTTCTCCATCTTGTATGTAGTCCTAAATTCAGCATAGCTATTTGAAGTCATCAGGCATCACTACTCTTCCTTATGCACTCTAGCGCATTGAGCCACAAAACTGTCAGGCTTGCACTTTATTTCATAGTAACATAGCATGGTTTGTGTTGGAAGGGACCTTTAAAGATCATCTAGTCCACCCTCTCTGCTGTGGGGAGGGACATCTTCTAGTAGATCAGGTTGCCCAAAGCCCTGTCCCCCTGTCCAACCTGGCCTTGAACACTTCCACGGATGGGGCATCCCCAACTTCTCTGGAAACCCAGTTTCTCATCACCATTCAGAAAAGGATATCTTCCTTATATCTAATCTAAATCTTCCCTCTTTTAGTTTAAAACCATTACCCCCTGTCCTGTCACTACAGGCCTTGGTAAAAAGTCTCTCTCCATCTTTCTTACAAGCCTTGTAATAAGGTCTCCCTGGAGCCTTCTCTTCTCCAGGCTGAGCAACCCCAGCGCTCTCAGCCTTTCTTGATGGGAGAGGTGTTCCAGGCCTCGGATCATTTTTGTGGCCCTCCTCTGGACCCACTCTAACGGGTCCATGTCTTGTCTGGGGACCCCAGAGCTGGATGCAGTGTGGGATCTCGAGAGCAGAGTAGAGGGAGAGAATCACCTCTCTCAACCTGCTGCCCATGCTTCTTTTTATGCAGCACAGGACTTGATTGGCTTTCTGGGCTACAAGCACATGTTGTCGGCTTGTGTCCAGTTTTTCATCCACCAGTATCCCCAAGTTCTCCACAGGGCTGCTCTCAATCCTTTAATCCTCCAGCCTGTGTTGATAGTGGGGGTTGCTCTGACCTAGGTGCAGGGCCTTGCACTTCGCCTTTTTGAACTTCATGAGGTTTGCATGGGCCCATGCCTCAAGCCTGTCAAGGTCCCACTGGATGGCATCCCTTCCCTCTAATGTATAGACTGCACCACTCGGCTTTGTCATCTGCAACCTTGCTGAGGGTGCACTCGATCCCGCTGTGTCATTAATGAACACGTTAAATAGTATTGGTCCCAGTACAGACCCTTGAGGGACACTACTTGTTACTGGTTTCCACTTGGACATTGAGCTGCTGACTGTAACTCTTCGGATACAGCCATCCAGCAAATTCCTTACCCATCTAGTAGTCCATCCATCAGATCCATTTCTCTCAGATTTAGATGTAAGAATGTTGGGGGGACCATATTGAAGGCCTTACAGAAGTCCAGGTAGGTGACATCAGTTGGTCTTCCCTTGTCCACTCATGCAGTTACTCCGTCATAGAAGGCCACTAGATAAGTCGGGCAATTAAAAGTTAAACTCCTCAGGTCAAGGACTGAGTTATGAATTTGTTTGCTATTACCTTTATCTCTTTGCTTGTTTTAAAAAAGAAAAAATAAGGGCTTGCATTGGTTTAAATAGGCAGTTGATGCCTCCGCCAGCTTTTCCTGTCACTGGGATGAAATCAGAATCTGAAGAAAGAAATGGTGCGGGGTCTTTACCAGGCAACCATGGTGAGTGCAATGAATAAAATACACTTGTGAGTAAATTTTCCTTTCCCAAATGAGTTTGCGCTCGTCTTAACATTTGTTTAAATCGGTGATTTTTTTTTTTGGCTGGTCTTTGGCTGTTTAAGTGAAAAGCAGGTCATACTGCACTGCTCTAAAATCACTTGTGTTTGCTGTGATTATACACACATGATGCTTCTCTTAAAACTTTAATATCTGTATGAATGAGGAGAGTGTAATTAAGTGAAAGACTAAAGACAGCTATTTTTGACCCATCAGTCAGCTGAGGCACAGAATGTCATAGGATTGTTTTGTAACACAGATATCATGTGGCTTTACATTGTGAACAGCTATCTCTAGAGGCACTAAGGAGTATCGGTGGGAGTTATGGTTCAGGTGTGTATTTACAGACATGAGTTATGTCTGCAAACAACAGAAGTCCTGTCAGATTTCATCCTTTCATAAGGTTGTCATACATCAAGTATTTGCAACTTGGTAAAACATGTAATCATTTTAACTCTCCTGGTAGTTTAGTGCCTTTCAGATCTGCAGGTACATCATGTTAGCCTGTTTAACCTTAGGTTTTCTGCAGTATTGGTCCCAGAGATTGCTCTTCCGTTAGCTTTCTTTTGAACAAAATTTCTACTTTTCTTTACATATTTATCTCTTTAACGGTGAAATTGCCATCACTTAGACACATTTGCTAACTCTACCTTTTTTGTGTGTTTCTTTCTTCTTTCTCTGTTCTCTTACATGGTTCTGATGGATCACATGTGCTGTTGGTGGTGCTGTTTCGTGTGGCCTTCGACCTTGGATGACCATTGGCCTTGTGACCTCAAAATGGTGTCCAACTAACAATTTACAATTAACGTCTTTTTTTATTAACTCGTTTTGGGGCATTTTATCTCTTTTTATTTTTATTCTTCCTTCTTGGGGGATGGGGGGATTGTTTTGTTTTCCCCTTCTAGATCATCAAGCTAAGAAGATGAAAACTGCAGAAAAGGGCTTTGGATTAGTGGCATATGCTGGAGATTCATCGGATGAAGAGGAGGAACATGGTGGCCATAAAAACGCAAGTACTTTTTCACAGGGATGGAGTTTGGGATACCAGTACCCTTCCTCACAACAGCGAGCTAAACAACAGATGCCATTTTGGATGGCACCGTAAAAGCTGCAGAAGAGTTTTCATTCATCCTTTTTTTCCCTCTAGCAATAATGCATGTATATTACAGAATGAACTTTGCAAATACGCATTGTTTTTACTTTTGCAGAAGCTAAAGGTTCAGTGTTCCCCCTTGAAAGGGCTCTATTATTTTTAAAATCCCTATTTCTGCAGTGAATTTGTCAATTAAAAAAAAGTATTTGAAATAGTGTTCTGACAGGGCTAGTCCCTTATGGGGAAGTACTGTAAAGGGAAACCAGGGAAGCCTGTCAGTCTGCGTTTCCCATTTTTCCAGGATAACTTAAAGATGGAAAGAGTCAGTCTACACCTGGTGTTTGTATTTTATTAAGTGTTCCTGCTGTCAGCCTGTGTTTGCAGTCCCATTGAGCTAATGGTGACCCTGGCTTCAATGTTCGGACTTTCAACAAAGGAAAGGAATATACAGTAGTTCTGAAAAGCTTGAGGATCACATTTCCTAAAACTCTTAATTTGTTTTTACTTCAAGCATTTCCTGTAACTCAGCACTGTTTTTTCTTTAAAATGTGGTTTTACTAACCCCACAACTTCTCGTTCTAGCCAGATGTCGGGGAGGGGGGATGCTCAGTTTTTTGGATGGGTTCATCTTGCCGCTAATCCCCAGGTGGACTTGGTGCTGTAGCACTGGTACTTAATCTTCTCCAGTCACTTCTGGATTCATTCCCATGCAGCAGTTCGGATGGAACTCCTTGTGAGGTTTGACCCCCCCCCCATCTCTTAACTCATTCACTTACTTGATTCTACCCCTTCTGTTTCACGGCGGTTTAACAAAGAAAAGGCAGGCAGCAACCGGGTCCACGCAGCGCCAGTGACCCGAGCACAGGTAACCGGGTCCATGCAGCGCCAGCGACCTGAGCACAGGTGTTGCTCTTGCCTCGAAGCGTGGAAGCGGAACCTGGGCATAAGTTGTTGGATTGTTTACGGATGTGACCTGCAACATGGGCTTTCTTGGCGGGGCAGGCTGTGGCAGAAAGAACTCTTTTGTATGGAGAAGTGATGCGTGGGACTGTGCTGAGGTGCTGGTCAGCTTTTGAAACGGGAGAGCGTTTTAATGGTGGGGATGTATGTTGCTGCTGCACACTGGAAGACCTTGCTGGCTCACTTGTACAAACATTGTCTTTCCTATGTGTTGTAAATAATTAGAACCGTACTTTCATTATAAATAAATGTATAAATATTCTGCTGCTTGCTGCTTTTTGGGGGTGAGACTTGACTCCAGCGCGGCCGCAGCCTGTGGAAGGGAAGGTGGGTTTTCGGGGTGCGGGTCCTCCAGAACCCGCCAGCGGGCGCTGCAGGCGCACGCGCCGGCCGGAGACCCCGCGGAGCGGCGGGCGGTGCTGGC